CAGCATAGGTTATTACCTGGTAAAGGATCTGACACCTGACATCTTCTACATCTTTCTACATCTCGTTTTAATTTTGATTACATAACATGTTGACATCATCCAGAAGGGTTTGACAGAGTTGTAACGTATCTCTAACGTGATGATGCAAGATTTTACTAAAACAATCTGAGATCAAGAGATCACACTCACAGAAATAGCTCTCCCTTATTAATTGTTTCTCCTGTCTTAATTGCAGATGCCTGTGATCTGACACTGGACCCCAACACAGCAGACGTGAATATAATTTTGACAGAGGAGAACAAAAAGGCAACATATGTTAGTGAGAAGCAGCCGTATCCTGATAATCCAGACAGATTTGCCTGCTTTCAAGTACTGTGTGAAGAAGGTCTGACCGATCGCCATTACTGGGAGGTTGAGTGTTTTTCAGCTGATGTTGGAGTGACATACAAGAGTATAGCTAGGGTGTCAGATTGTTCAGCTGAAATGTCTTTGGGAAAAAATGAAATGTCTTGGTGCTGGTTTTATGAAGGGAAGTTTTATCATAACAATTCCTGTCTGGAGTTTATGGACTGTGCTACACACAGTAGTACCATAGGAGTGTATCTGGACTGGCCAGCGGGTATTTTGTCCTTTTTTGAGGTCTTTCCTGATACACTGACCCACCTGTACACTGTGCGTACAACTTTCACTGAGCCACTGCATCCTGGTTTTGGTCTGTATCCTCTAAAGGACAGCAACATAAAGATCATGCCCCTGTCACTGCACTAGAAACTCCTCCTGCAGGTTGGGGCATCTACACTGAGATGGGTGAGATCCTGGGTGGAGAATGTTAGCCCCCTTGTCAGTGTTGATACCTATTTCTTCCCATACTGTATGACTCAACTTCCATATAAATCTATTTTCATAGATTTTTTTATATATATTTACTCATCCACTTTCACTTTTTTAACTGACATGATAGAATCAGTTCATCTGTAAGTCGAGTTAACAGCAAAAAAACCCCAAATAGTACAGTGATGTATTCAGATCATACATGGAATGCATTTTGAGCTCCTAAAATTTGCACCTCTCATATCTGGTTGAAATGTTGAGTGGAACCACTAGCATTAGGAAAGACATTGTTCTTCCCTTCCTCACTGGTGAACATGTACAGTACTGTATGGACAGTATGGGTGTGCTTTTAGGCAAACAAGAGGCACAGATGGATGAATGTTCTATATCACTCACATCTGTATGAAAAAGCTGTATAGAGTGTACATATAACCTTCATTCAATTTTCTCTATTTCCAATTATATCTGTATTTTTGTATTTTTTTATTTAATGTGTATTTTCATATCTGCAGTGTTGTATATGGAGCTGCTGTAGAGAGTAAAATTCCCCAGTGTGGTATCAATAAAGTCTGTGCTCTCTTATCTTATCTTATCCTATGAATGTACAATGAAGTTGGATGTGTATGTGTGTTCTTGGATTGATTTATTAAGTCTGGAATAAATAACTTGTAAGCATTACACTCAGTTCTGAAGCCTAACAGAAGCCCCTCTGTGTGAGTATGTGTTTGTAGTCACATGTGCGCGACTTCATTTTAAAATGTACATGTTTGTCTAATGTGAATGAAGTCTAATAAAAGCAGTGTTGCAGCATTTCTTTAAGTGTGTTTGTGGTTGTACAGATTCCAGCAAAGAAAAAAAGGTCTTAAAAAGAGCATTTCCACCCTGACTGAATGTCAAAGATATAGAGGGATGGTTACTGTCATTACAAATGTGCATAAATAACCACAGCCCAACTTTTCTGTCTCACAGTACCAATTGAATCCTGCTAATGATAACTTGTTTAGTTAATGTTTGTTTGTTTTATAGTCCTTCATCGGCTGGGGTAATTGTACGTGTGTGTGTGTGTGTGTGTGTGTGTGTGTGTGGGTTGGCGGGTGGGAGCTTTGGTCAAACTTGGTCTGACAACGCTCAAGCTGTTTGTGGAGCCTCCTGTCAGCTCGGTGACACACATGGGGATCGTCCTCTCTGCTGTTTGTTTTGTCACCTTATGTTTCCTCCCTGGTTCCTTTCAGTTGTCAGCAGAGTTGGAGCCTCTTTAGCGTAACTCCTGATAGTGATGGGCAAATGAAGCTTTTGTGAAGCACTGAACCACTTGAGCCAATTGTTTCAAAAATGGGTTCACTACTTGAAGCTTCAGTTACAGTGACCTCTACTGGCAAAGTGCAAGGCTGCAGCCAAATTAGGAAGGCTAGTTGATGGACATGAGGCTTTTAATTACATACTCGCATGCATGCACACGCACACATCTAGCGAGCAGTGTTTTTGTAGAAAACACCTTTTGTTCTGAAGCATGTTTGCTTTGATCACCCTTGGATTGAAAGTGTATTTGCTTTAAAAATTTGTATCTATATCATGTTCTATTTACAAATAAAGATTGATGAATGTGTGTATTATGTTATTGAGGAGAGAATGCTGGGGAAATATTGTATAGGTTGGGGTGTGCTTGTGTAACTATGACAGGAGGGGATTGGGAACAGTCATGAATCAATACAAACATAATGAATCAATACAAACGCAATGAATCAATACAAACGCAATGAATCAATACAAACGCAATTAATCAATACAAACGCAATAACTCTGCAACTACGATAACAACCCACAAATTGTGCATTGTTTAGAGCGTTTATAAAGTGTTAATGGCGCTCAAATTCAAAACTGTTTCAACCTGTCACCTGTCGGAATCGGGGCAGTGAATCACCTGATTGGACCATGAACCAGGCAGCTGATTCATTCAGGCAACGAAACAGTTGCTGCTTCGGACGTCATTTGTCACGTGATTTTTTTCGGACCAAAGCAAGCTTTGAAGCAGTGGTTCTATGGAATTGTAGTTCAGGGTTCGAAGCACGCATCGAAGCTTCAGTGTCACACTGCCATCACTAACTCCTGATACACACACATCTCAGAGATAAACGTACATGTGCACGCACAGATATAAACACACACATTTTGGGAGACTTCACCCACTTGTACACCCACACTGAATTTCACATTTTTGCCACACACAGATACACACAGCCAGATATACTGAATTTGTATACAGTGGAACAGGAAAATATGCATTAATTTCATCTTTCTTTGCCAAGAGTTAGATGAGAAGATAGACACCACAGGGCTTGCTCTATCTAGAGGTAACGAAATTTGCCCAATACCTTTTTGAAGTTTTGTCGCCATCACAAGATTGCCTGGTTGATTTTAAAGTACGGATTTTGTTACCCTTGGACTGAATGAGGCTAGCTGTTTTTAAATGTGCTTTATAATACATTTGAGTTTATGCTAGGTTTTACTAAGCCTCTACTTAGTATTTTTTATTTTTATTTAGCTACATTGGTTTGGACTTGTGCTTTAGACGGCTGTAGAAGCACCATCGGACTGCAGTCTTTCCCTTGATCCCATACACTTACAGTCCCCCCACAGACACAGTCACACACACACACACACACACACACACACACACACACACACACACACACACACCGGAGAGGTATGCTGCATTCATATGGATTTAGCCAGATCCTCCTTACAGTTCGGGAAAAACAAACAGTCTGATGGATTGGCAGGATGGCAAAACGAAACACGCATGACGATATGTTGCTGTGGTGATGTCTTGTTATTTTACAAAAAAATTAAATGAATACAATTATTTTGTGTATATTATTTTATTAATTGTATAAATTATTAGCATCTCGTTGTCTTGATTAACCAGGTTTTCTACTTCTGTGAGGGAACTACGTACGCTGCACAGTTTCAACTCGTCCATAGCAGGAAACAATGGCATCTCCCCTGCTCACACATTCTCTTATTGCAGCTAACAGTACACTAAAATATGTTTGTGAAATAGGCAATACGGGAACAGAACCTTGATTCATATTTTATCAGTGCTGCCTAGTTTGACAGGTCTATCTGAGTTTTGTGCGTTGTGCTGGACACACTCACTGAGAATGACACAAGGTAGCCATACCCAAAAGCATACACTGCTTCATCATCTATTTTACTCTAAATTGGACCATATATACACAAAATAAACATTGAGTTGTGTGGAAGAAGACTTGAAACTAGAAACAGAGACCATAAACTCATTGGGAAACTGTTTACTGAGCTCTCCATAAGACTGCATGGTATTGCTGTTTTATTACAGCCAATAGAGCTGCCCCCTGCTGGCCATTACATAGAATGCATGTTTCCTCTTCAGTGTCGGCTTCACTTCACAGACCCAGAAGCTCTTTCTATTATATATACTGTCAAAACAGGTTGTAGTCAGTCCGTCAATCACAAGCAGCACAAGCAATGCAACAAGCAGCTGTGACAGTTGTGTTTCCAGCCCCTCTTTAGAATCTTTTTTTGCTTTTTATAACCCTAATCTTCAGTGAAATATGGTGTAAAGTCAATTTGGATTTGTGTAAATAATTCATGCTGGCTTTATAGGCTAATGGAGTGTTACTGTCTGTCTGTATTTTTGTTAATATGGCACTGCCATTATTTTTTTTAATCAAATCTGATACTAGCTACCACATACAGTACTTACAAACCATACACCATTCGGTTCAAAAACCCAAAGCCAAAATTCAGCTGTGAATGTCACTTTTAACAAAGGAGAGCTACAAACTGTCTGGCTTTAATGTGCGTTTCTGTCAGACAATGGGCTGGCCTGGAATACGTTTTCATACAAAAAGACAGAAACTTGATACAGCCTAAATGGAGTGTATGGAGGCTGCTGGACTGTGCACCAAAATTAGAAGGAAGTCTGATTTTCCTCTTAAAAATGTGAATTTGGGGCTGCAGTGTTTGATTTCAAAGACAGACTTTTGTGCCAGACAACAGAAGCAGCCGCAGGAATATCCACATTTTTCTCTCTCTTCCTTTTTGTCCCTCCCCCAGACACACACACACACACACACACACACACACACACACACACACACTCAGCTGGGTCCACCCACCAAATACTGTCTTCTCTTCCTGCGTATAATAACATTTACACTACAGTAGTATGACACAACACCCACAGACATTGAAAAATCCAAGTCTTTCCTGCTGCAGCTTACCATAGGACTTCAGACACAAAGGTAAAATAACACATTTAAATTTATCTGTGCATGTTTGTGAAAAAAAATGCAGATGAATAGTCCAATTAAATATTGTATGTGTTTAGAATAAAAGTACAGACCACTGATTTTACTCTCAACACAGAAAGGTTGTTAATAATAACTGTAGAAAATGCCTTAAAAACTCTTAATTCAATTTAAACTAAAACTGTTAAAGTATAAATAAATATACTGCATCACAGTTATGATATTCTAATATGTACCAATTTTATATTAAAACACAAGATAGATGTTAGATAGACTTGTCCTTTCACTTTCACTTTTACAGGGTCAGCCGTCGTAGAGCCACTACATAATGACAGCAAGTTTGGCTGTTCTGAGGACAGAATGGAATATTTAAAAACTTTCCAAATGACAGATTCACAGAGCTGACACTGAAGAACTAACATCATGGGGAGCCAATGCTCGAAACTTAGGAGGGGTAAATCAAAGAGAAAGGAGTGTTACGAACCAGATCAGAAGAAAGATGAGGTTTCCACCATAGTGGAAAGTGGAGAAAGATCTCCTTTTCTCCAAAAAAGGCCATCTATGCAGGAGGAAGAGGGAGTTGTAAGAGAGACAACAAATGAGGAAACTTTAGGGAGGAAAAAAAAAGAAGAAACTTGCTCTGAAAAACTGGGTTGTCTTGAGAAGAGCAGCACTCTGCCACAGGAATACCCTGCGGTTGAAGTCAACACCCCAAGGTGAGACTTCATCATCAGCATTATAATTTCTCCATTGACACTAAAACTGTGTTTCTGTGTGTACATAAATAAATTCATGTAAAATATACTGTATAACGTAAACGTAAAACATCCAATAAAAGCAGGGTCCAAAATAGACGCAGGTCTCCTTTACAAGCCTGGTGTGGCTTCATGTTTTGACAAACAAACACAGTTCTCCAATAGAGGCCTGGTCTGGATTTTATAGAAATTATCTTGATGTCAAAAAAATCTTAAAGACCACCGGGTCACCCGCTTGAGCGAGTTTTTAGCCGTTTAGATCGCCTACACAAATATAGATTAATTAGATTCTCTACAATTCAGTCGTTCGGTTAATTTTATGGAAACTATCAACACCAAAGTATAATTCATTTAGACTTACAGGCATGGTAAATAAGAAACTCTGAAGCGATCATAAAGTCTATATAGTCTGTATCCGTTCCTCCATTGTTTATATTTAGTCCGTAAGGGTCCACCGGTCAAAGTAGTCAAAGGGTTTCATAAAAATAAAATTAGAGTTTATCAGAGAATATTGTCATGTGAAGTCTGTTGCCCACTGCAGAGATCAGTGGTCACACTGCCTGCATCTGCAAGTGTGTGTGCATCGTGGAACATCTTCAATATCTATATATGCAGAGTGTGTCATAATGAGATTAAAAGCTCTCTTGCGTTTCTATGGACAGAATCCATTCATCTGTCATTAAGACTTTTTTTGTATTGTATTTATCAATGGCAAACTCAGCATAGAAAGATAGGGCTGGTAGCAGCAGAAACGCTCTCTGTGTGGTCACCTCAGGCGTACGAGCTGCAGCAATTCAAGTAGGCAGCCGGACAGAAGAGGTGCCGGGCATGGTGGATACAAACGTTTCAACTGGCAGATTATGCTCCTTTGAAAATGTCAAATGGTGACTTTGAATATATTCTTATTTATTTTTGGAAACTGTGCTGACTTTGTGGCATTTTGTGTGGCCTTAGCTGTTTCACGCTCTTTCTCACTCTGGTCTTTTAAGTATCATATTTGATTTGATGTGTTTTGACTCTTGTAGAATAACTTGCCGTTTCAGGGCAAATCAGGAAAGTGTGCAGTGTTTTTTTGGGTGTCAAGTATGCCTTGGCCCCCCTGGTCTATGTTGGTCTTAACTATCTAACACTGTATGGTAAATGGACTGTCTGCTAGATACTTGTAATACTCTAGTCTTTGCGGTGGAAAAAGCTGTGTTATGTAATTTTCTTTTGTTAAAATGACTTAGATAAAATTGGTATTAAAAAAAAATTCATTCAGGAATCGGTATTGAAATCACTTGAAAAGTTTTAATACCCAGCCCTAGTTAGAAGCATTGTTACCTGTTACATCTGTAAAACACAGTTGTTTTTGTCATTTGTCAGTCCTGCCGTCTCCGAAACACATGATCCTGCTTCATCCATCACAGAGGAGAAAGGTGAGTTAAAGTAGAGCAAACACTATCTTTATTTTAACTGGTGACCATAAAATTCCAATTACAAGAAAAGTATGTGCATGCCTTAGAGGCCATTTATTCTGTGGCATGCTTGTAACAGGTAGCTGTGTGTCCAGGATATGATGACATGTGCCATCATGTGTTTATCTTTTTAAAAGAAGCTGACTGGGTGGACAACAACAGGGCTAAGCTCATTCACAGTGTCACTTCAGTGATGGTAATAGCGGATGAGATGGTCCAGTGGAAAATAATTCATAATGAGACGTACAACAACATCAAGGCTGCCAGGACCAGCCAGGAGCAGATGAGGGAGCTCTTTGAGGCTATGAAAGGATCTAAAAGAGCCAAATCTTCATTCTACAGAATTTTCAACAACATTCACCCAGACATATGTGGAAGTATGTGAGATTTTTTTTTGATGACTTAACCTCTGCTGAGGTCTTTGTCTAAAACATGATGATGGTTATAATAGTTAGTATAGTAATACATTTCAATTTTAGTACATTGACAAGATCAAATGCAGTAAAGTTCAAAATATTGTATGCTCACGAAACTGCTTTGATTATGTTAACTCTTTTATTGCAGCAGAAGATGTCCCACAAGTCATCAGAAAACACAAAGCATTTCTAAGGGAAAGGTTTAGATATGAGTTTGAAGGCACTGAAAAAGATCGTAAGGATGCAAAATCATTGGACAAAATTTACACAGAGCTTCACATAATTCACGGAGAGAGTGAACATGTCAATGAACAACATGAGATCTGGGAGATTGAAGATAAGGCGAGGAATCAAACAGCTGAGGGCACTAAAATCAACTGCAATGACATCTTTAAAAGTACACCAGAAGGTAGCGTCTCATCTGGGCAAGACAGAAGAGAAGAGAGAGCTATCAGAATTGTGATGACTAAGGGAATTGCTGGCATTGGAAAAACTGTCTCTGTGAAGAAGTTCATCCTTGACTGGGCAGATGGTGGAGCCAATCAGGATCTGGACTTTATCTTTGTGCTACCATTCAGAGAGCTAAACCTGGTCTTAGATGATCAGTTTAGTCTTGAGACACTCGTGAAAGACTTCCACCCAGAACTTAAAAACATAGCAGTTGCAAGAATATTTGCCAATCACAAAGTCTTGTTCATTTTTGATGGTCTTGATGAAAGCCAACTTCAACTGAATTTCAATGAAACCAAAAGACTGACAGATGCCACTAAGGAATCATCGGTGGACACTCTGGTGACCAACCTAATCCGGGAACATCTTCTTCCCTCCGCTCTTATCTGGATAACCTCAAGACCAGGAGCAGTTCACCGCATTCCTCGTCAGTTTGTGTACCAATGGACTGAGGTCAAAGGATTTAATGATGAGCAAAAAATACAGTACTTCGAGAAGAGAGTTGAGGACAAGGCAGTTGCTGAACAAATTATTAACAACATCACGAAATCCTGGAGCTTATACATTATGTGTCACATACCTATCTTCTGTTGGATTGCGGCAAAAGTTCTTGCGTGGTTGCTAGAAAAGGACAACACTCAAGATGAAAACATAAAAATACCTACAACTCTTACTGAGATGTACACTCACTTCCTTTGCATTCAAATGCAGGTAGCAACTGAAAAGTATGATAACCAGAATGAGTCAGATAAAGAGATGATCTTCAAGTCAAATGAAGAATTCATTTTAAAGTTAGGCAGGATGGCATTTGAACATCTGAAAGAAGGCAAAATCGTATTTACTGTCCATGATCTGAACAAGTATGGCATTGACATACAGAAAGCTGGAGTTTACTGTGGGTTGTGCACAGAGATATTCAAAGAAGAGACTGTGTTTAACATAAGGAAACTCTACTGCTTTGTGCATCTGACAGTTCAGGAGTACTTTGCTGCTTTGTTTGTGTACCACAGTTTTGCAAGTAAAAAAATAGACTCTCCAAGCCTCAAGGACTTCCTGCTCATAGGGTCTGATGAACAGCTCAAGTCTATCTTGGATGCTGATCCAGTTGATTTACCTGTGAATGAGCTGATTGAAATTTCAATAGCTAATTCAACTCTGAGAAAGACAGGTGAACTGGACATGTTCCTCAGGTTCCTTATTGGTATGTCTCTACAATCAACACAAAAACTGCTTTATGGCCTGATTCAGCAGACAGATAAACATTCTGAAGCTGTTGAGGAAATTACCGAAAGTCTAATAAAAATAGACTTAGTGTACTGCTCAGGTGAAAGATGTCTGAACCTCATTCACTGCCTGATTGAGCTGAAAGACAGTTCGGTACACAATACTGTGCAGCAGTGTCTGAAACCAAATCACAGGCCTGAAACACAGCTCTCTCCTGTTCAGTGCTCAGCTCTGGCCGACTTAATTCTAATGTCAAATACGCCCCTAGATGAATTTGACCTAAACAAATTCAGACCATCAAGAAGAGGCATTTTTAGGCTTCTCCCAGCTGTGAGGAACAGCAAAAAAGCAAGGTGAGCATGATAACCCCTCCCCTCTCTAGTTGGTCTGTGTTTTTCCCATTTGTTCTTCACAGGAGACAGAGTGGCAGGGGTGTGGCCATTAAATGGGCTACACCTGGTTTATCCCTGATTACTAGGTTTCATAGGAGGTTCCTTCCAGCCAGAAGGTCCTGGGTTTGTTGCTGTCTTTGGCTTGAATAATGATTATCCTTTTTCCATACACAACACTTCACCCATGTCCACACACTCACTACACTACTGACAATACTGATGTACATATATCTTGTATACTTTGTTTAGTTTAAATATTATTTAATTACATTTTGCCATAAACACCTTTTGTGTGGTCTCCCTATATAGTGAGAATACAAGTTCAAGTGACACTGTCATGAACAGCAGGTATATGACAGTGAGTTGGTCACTTAAACTTTTATTCTCACTATATCTGCAATGCATTTATTTCTTTGTCATTAACTTTAAATTTAATTTTTTTTTATACAGCACACACAAGCACACAGTTACAGTGCACATTTTAATTTGCTATCATAGTGGCAAATTTATTGTATGCATATAAAACTTTATCTGATCATTCATGATTGTCGTTTTTATTGTCTGCAGAATCTCAGGGGTGCATGTTGATGCTTGGCTTGGTGAAACAATCTCCTCAGCCCTTCGAATGTCAAACTCTGTGCTAACTGAACTGCACCTGCTAAATAGTTCATTTTATGGTGAATGTGCACAGTACTTGATTGATGGACTGATAAGTCCTCACTGCCAACTAGAAGCTCTGAGGTTAGTAAAACTATTTAATTGTATTGTGTTTTTATTTGTCTTTTATTCTTTTTTTTTAGTACTTTCTACTTTGTGTAAGAAACACATACAAAGATAGGTAATTAAACATTTTTTTTATTTGTTTATTTTAGAGGCTTAGCCTCCCATCCTAAAGGACTAATACACTAAATATTGGTGTGATGTGTATTCAGCCTGCCAGGACAATATTAGCACCAACGACATTCACCCACTCATGCTGGTGGCAGTCATTCACAATCATTTGGGTCACTTGCGTCCAAACCTTTTTCAAAGCCCACCAAAAGTATATTTGCTTTTGTCCAGACTGAAACAAACAGACAACCCTAGGTTCCCCTTCAGCACTGTAGCCAGGCTGACAGAGAGTCACAGCTCTATTGAACCACATATCCCCATAAACTTAAGTAGCAATGACTTCTTTTATAATAAAATTATTACTATTAGAGAGAAAATTAGTCACCAAATGCCCTCAACAGGTATCACTGGCTCTCCAAGTTTAGGAACTTTTACTAATGTAAACTCAGATATATATTTAGAATGTTTTTCTGCTGTCAATCTTCATCAATTTCTTCATCGAAGCCATCAACCTGTCTATTAGACCCGATCCCAACTAGGCTGCTTAAAGAAGTCATACCCTTAATTGGCACTTCTTTACTGGATATAATTAATCTTTCTTTATTATCAGGATATGTACCACAGTCCTTAAAAGTAGCTGTAATTAAACCCCATCTTAAAAAGCCCACTCTTGACCCAGGGGTTTTAGCCAACTATAGACCGATTTCTAACCTCCCCTTCCTCTCTAAGATTCTGGAGAAAGTAGCTCTTGTTAAAGTTAATAATTACCTTTTGATTGCTTCCAACACTGTACTTGTATTATTAGATCTTAGTGCTGCATTTGACACCATTGACCATAATATTCTTGTACAGAGACTTGAGCATCAATTTGGCATTAAAGGAACCGCACTAAGCTGGTTTAAGTCATACTTATCAGATTGTTCACAGTTTGTACATGTTAATGATAAATCTTCAATAAATACTACAGTTAGTCATGGAGTTCCACAAGGTTCTGTACTTGGACCAATACTATTTACTTTATATATGCTCCCTTTAGGCAACATTATTAGGAATCACTCCATTGACTTTCATTGCTTTGCAGATGATACGCAGTTATATCTGTCGATCAACCCTGATGAAATTAATCAATGATCTAAATTACAAATATGTCTTAAGGACATAAAATCCTGGATGAGCTGCAATTTTCTGATGTTAAACTCAGAAAAAAATGAAATTCTTGTACTTGGCCCCGAAAACCTTAGAGACTCACTATCTAAAGATATTGCTACTCTAGATGGCATTACCTTGGCCTCTAGCACCACTGTCAGGAATCTTGGAGTTATCTTTGATCAGGACATTTAATTCCCACATAAAGCTATTCTCCAGGACTACCTTCTTTCATTTACGTAATATTACAAAAATTAGACACATCCTATCACAGACAGATGCAGAAAAACTAATCCATGCATTTGTTACTTCTAGGCTGGATTACTGCAACTCTTTATTATCAGGATGCCCCAATAAGTCCATTAAGACGCTCCAATTATTTCAAAACGCTGCAGCACGAGTACTGACAGGAACTAGGAAAAGAGTTCACATCTCTCCTGTACTAGCTACTCTGCACTAGCTCCCTGTAAAATTTAGAATAGAATTTAAAATCCTCCTCCTCACCTACAAAGCTCTTCATGGTCAGGCCCCTTCATATCTTAAAGAGCTCATAGCACCCTATTACCCCACTAGAACACTGCGTTCTCTGAATGCAGGGCTACTTGTGGTTCCTATAGTCTTGAAAAGTAGAACAGGAGCCAGAGCCTTCAGTTACCAAGCTCCTCTCCTGTGGAACCAGCTTCCAATTGTGGTTCGGGAGGCAGACACCCTCTCCACTTTCAAGAATAGGCTTAAGACGTTCCTCTTTGATAAAGCGTATAGTTGGGCTGGATCAGGTGAGTCCTGAACCATCCCTTAGTTATGCTGCTATAGGCCTAGACTATCGGGGGATTTCCCATGGTGCACTGAGCTCCTCTCTTCCTCTCTCTCTCTCATTGTCCCCCATCGTTGCTGTTGTCGTCGTCATCATCTTCTTCATGTTCATCATCATCAGTCACTACTATTAGTGTAGTAGTTGCTACTGTTGTTGCTGTGCAACTGTCTGTCTGTCTCTGTCTCTCTCTCTTTCTCTCTCTCTCTCTCTCTCTCTCTCTCTCTCTCTCACCCCAACTGGTCGAGGCAGACGACCACCCACCTAGAGCCTAAGGATCTGTCCTAGGTTTCCTCCTCTCAACAGGCAGTTTTTCCTTGCCCCCGTCGCCAAGTGCTTGCTCATGGTGGTAATGTTGGGTCTCTGTAAATGTTATAAGGAGTTCGGTCTAGACGTGCTCCATTTGAAAAGTGTCCTGAGATAACTTCTGTTATGAATTGGCGCTATACAAATACAATTTAATTGAAATTGAACTGCATTGAAATATCTCTGTAACAACTGTTATAAATACACTGATATAACTATGTTCACCTGTTTTTGTCCTCTGTGTTTGTAGTCTGTCTGGTAATGGACTCTCACGAAACAAATGCGAAAAGTTGGCGTCAGCTATCAAATCTGTCATCTCAAATCTAAGAGAACTGGAGCTGAGTTGCAGCATACTGAACGGCTCATTATGCTCTGTGCTTTCTGTTGGGCTAAACAGCCCTAAACTGGTGAAGCTCAGGTCTGTGTCTCAGACATATTATTCCCCTAAACATGGAGGTATGGTGCATAAAAGGTTCTAAATCAGATTTTCTGGCCATGTTGTAAGGTAGAAATTATGTGCACTATTTGTTCTACAAAGGCTCATTCACATCCTAGGGAAAGCTGCCCTGCTAAAACAGACAGTTAAGTTGCAATATCTAACGTGTGTATGTCCAATTTATGTATTTCTTATTTATGTCATTTTTATTACCTCTTTCCCAAAAGACTAAACCGAAATCCTCAGACTGCAGACATCTGTAAGCAGTTGGTGACAGCATTCACTTCCAAACCATGTTACCTGAGAGAGCTGGAACTGAGTTACGCCAATTTTAAAGACTCAGAAATGGAGATCTTCTGTACTGGTCTGATGAACACAAACTGTACTCTTGAAATATTGAGGTAAAAGACTGCAATACATTGCACTGCATTAAAAAAACAAGACTAAATGGTCGCTGAAATATCATTAAAAATAAGTGCTAATAATGTCTGAAAAGGTTAATTTCATCAGCTCAATGAATGTTTAGTAGAAGAAAATGTCAAATAACATAACATTAAAGGTCCAGTGTGTAACATCTATTGGCAGAAATAGAATATAAAATTCATAAGTATGTTTTATATTGTATATACAGTAATCACCTCTGTATACACAAATCACAAGAATCATGTTCTCGTCACCTTAGAAAGAACATGTTTTTATCTACAGAGGGAGCGGGTCCTCCTCACGGAGGCCGCCATGTTGAATAACCATGCATGGTGGTATTTATTCAAATCGTTGCAATCTGCAACTACACCACTAGATGCCACTGAATCCTACACACTGGTCATTTAAGTCATTAAACCTAAATTCTGATCATGTATGTAGATAACAAAGTTAGTAAATTAGTAAATCATTAACAATTATTTTCATATTTAAATATTTTTCAAATATTCTGCATGATGAGAGGTAAATTATATTCCTACATTTGTCATTCAGTCTTGGTCACAACAGACTCACTGAGAAAGGTTGTAATGCGTTGGCCTCAGTGCTCAGCTCCAAACACTCCCACCTGGCTGAGCTGGACCTGAGCTACAATGACCTGCAGGACTCAGGAGTGATGGCGCTGTGTAATGCACTGATGAACCCACACTGTGGTTTGAAAATATTACGGTCAGTTTAAACAATAACTCTTATTTACGTTGACATTACTAATTGACTTTTACCTGAATTCAGCTTTTTCCAATGCACACACACAACAGCTCTTTAATAAAATTCTAAGTTCTATAGACATTCATGGATCTTATATATTTTTTAAACTGTGGTATACATGCGTTTATTCAACTTTATGGGGATTTTCGAAGCTGTGCTGCTGTTGAATTGTAGTGGCATACTTTCTAATACTTTGTCAACTGTATTTCCTTGTCAGTGAGGATGGAGTGAATACCTGTAGTGTGTTACATACAAATTTACCTCTGAAAGTAATTATACTGTGTCCAGCAAGTTCTTTATTTACAATAGCTGTAAATGTTCATATTTAAGCTGTCAAGACATTTATAGTGTCAACTTGTGTTAACAAGTAAAAATTAGTGCTGATCATCTACCACACGTCAACAATGTCCGTTGTGTAATTTCCGTAGGCTGTCATTCTGTAAAGTGACAGGAAATGGATGTGCTGCCCTGGCCTCGGCTCTGAGGTCTGACCACTGCAGGCTCGGTGAGCTGGACCTGAGCTTTAATCACCTGACAGATCAAGGAGTCAAACTGCTGTCTGAAATACAGCGGGATTCACGTTGCAGTCTGGAGAAACTCAAGTATACTCAAACAGGCTAACAGACACACTCCTATGATTATTCCAAGATGAATTAGCAAGATTCACTTTAGTTGTTTAATTTGAAAGTGCATGTGGGAAGATATTTGATGTTTTCAACTGCTGTCCCTCCATTTCCCATCAGTGTGGACCAAAATGAAGAGTACTGGTTTGACTTGGAGCTGCTGAGACGATGTAAGAACATAATTATTTTAAATGAAATGCTATAGCTGTGATGTTGTAACATGCATGCACACCAAAGTGACCTGATATACAAAAATAATGGACAGGTTGAAATAAAGAATGCCACTCTACTTTTGAGTGTCTATATCAGGACGAAAGTATGTATGTGTGTGTGTGTATGTATTTCTGACCCTTTACATTTGTTATGGCAACTGTAATTTGTCTTTCGTGCTGGGAATGGCACGGTGAAGTGAGGGAGTTGCAAGCTGCAACTACACTGCTAAATACCCCTAAATCCTACACACTGGTCCTTTAATTCATGATTGGGTGAGTTTCAGCACAAGTTATTACCTGGTAAAGGATCTGATACCTGACATCTGTCAGACAATAAGGGGTGAGTATTTTCTGTATGTGACTCAACTTCCATAGAAATGACTGAGATACTGAGAATCCTGTACAACTTTAAAACATTCACACCAAGGGAACAACTAATGCAACCAAATGTTTGCAGTTTGAACAGCATGTCAACAAAGTGGAGACAGTTATTGGGTAAAACCTGCCTCGTTTGAACTTCCATAATGATGACATAACATGTTGACATCATCCAAAAGGGTTTGACAGAGTTGTAACGTATCTCTAACGTGATGATGCAAGATTATATTAAAACAATCTGAGATCAAGAGATCACACTCACAGAAATAGCTCTCCCTTATTATTGTTTCTCCTGTCTTAATTGCAGATGCCTGTGATCTGACACTGGACCCCAACACAGCAGACGTGAATATCATTTTGACAGAGGAGAACAAAAAGGCAACATATGTTAGTGAGAAGCAGCCGTATCCTGATAATCCAGACAGATTTGCCTGCTTTCAAGTACTGTGTGAAGAAGGTCTGACCGATCGCCATTACTGGGAGGTTGAGTGTTTTTCAGCTAATTTTGGAATGACATACAAGAGTATAGCTAGGGTGTCAGATTGTTCAGCTGAAATGTCTTTGGGAAAAAATGAAATGTCTTGGTGCTGGTTTTATGAAGGGGCGTTTTATCATAACAATTCCTGTCTGGAGTTTATGGACTGTGCTACACACAGTAGTACCATAGGAGTGTATCTGGACTGGCCAGCGGGTATTTTGTCCTTTTTTGAGGTCTTTCCTGATACACTGACCCACCTGTACACTGTGCGTACAACTTTCACTGAGCCACTGCATCCTGGTTTTTGTCTGTATCCTCTAGGGAACAGCAACATAAAGATCATGCCCCTGTCACTGCACTAGAAACTCCTCCTGCAGGTTGGGGCATCTACACTGAGATGGGCGAGATCCTGGCTTAGGACTGTAAATAAATAAGTGGCTTTCGACCGTATTGGTTGAGGCACATAGCTGACAAAACTATATCCAACAAAGGAGTTGGAAGTGATAAGAACTACTGTAAGATGGGGAATATTTTAACATTTCTTTTAAATAGATACACTTGTTTGTCTGTTGATACTTAATTCTTCCTACACTATGACTCAGCTTCCATAGAAATGATTGAACCAGATGCAGCATGTACAGGCTGGTCTGCATTCCTCCATTGTAATCTACTATCTACCATGACAGAATCTGTTCATCTGTAAGTCAGTTAAAAATAGTACAGTGGTGTATTCAGATCATACATGGAATGCATTTTGAACTCCTTAAATTTTGCACCTCTCATATCTGGCTGAAATGTTGAGTGAAAACACCAGCATTAAGAAAGACACTGTTCTTACCTCCCTCACGGGTGAACATGTACAGTACTGTATGGACAGTATGGGTGTGCTTTTAGACAAACAAGAAGCACAGATGGATGAATGTTCTATATCAATCACATCTGTATGAAAAAGCTGTATAGAGTGTACATATAACCTTCATTAACTTTTTTCTATTTTTCATGATATCTGTATTTTTTGTATTGTATTTTTTTATTTAATGTGTATTTTTTGAATCTGCAGTGTTGTATATGGAGCTACTGTAGCGAGTAAATTTCCCCAGTGTAGTATCAATAAAGTCTGTGTTATCTTACCTTATCTTATCCTATGAATGTACAATGAAGTTGGATGTGTATGTGTGTTCTTGGATTGATTTATTGAATTTGGAATAAATACCTTGTAAGCATTACACTCAGTTCAGAAGGCTAACAGAAGCCCCTCTGTCTGAGTGTGTGTGTGTGTGTGTGTAGTCGCATGTGTGCAACTTTTCATTTTAAAAAGTTTAGTTGAAATGTTTGTCTAATGTGAAGTCTAATAAAAGCAGTGTTGCAGCATTTCTTTAAGTGTGTTTGTGGTTGTACAGATTCCAGCAAAGAAAAAAAGATCTTAAAAAGAGCATTTCCACCCTGACTGAATGTCAAAGATATGAAGGGATTTGTTTTTATATATGTGCATATGTCATGCCAATAAAGCCAGACCAAAAAAAAAGGGTTTCCACTGTTATTCAACTCATCACAGCGACACAAATGGTGCATCAGCCTGTGCTTGTGGATTAAGGAGCAGATGAGAGTTTCATGGACCTGTCTTACGTTTTAGAAGCCAACGCCCTTGACGGTCGACTAATCTGCAAGGTCACTCATCGCCTTCAACCCATTCAGCTAATAATAAACGGTAACCATTCTGTAGTCATCACTTCACATCTGTTTGAATCAAAATCCACTAATTGTGGGGTTGACGTGGCTTATTAAACATAACCCATATATTGATTGGATCACTGGCAAAAGTTGGGAAAATACTGTTCAAATTCACCTGTTCAATTTCTGTTCCTCCAAGCCACCTGAACTTTCCACTCCACCCCCTAGTAAAGACCTTCCGCCATCCAGCACCTGTGGAACTCCATTCCTTGATCCTCTGGATCTGATGGGGATTCTGTTCTGTTACCATGATTTTGTGGACCATCTTCTTTATTAAGCAACTGAGAGACTGAATCAAGATCTCGAGCCCGGACTCCGCTGCCTCATCTCTCAGAATCACTTTTCCTGGAGCGAATATCTTATTTGGGTTGAGTATGCTCATAATACTTTATCCTGTTCATCTACTGGTCTCTCCCCTTTCCAGTGTGTCTACAATCGGACCCAGGCTCCATCATACAGACCTGGGAAGAAGGTGTGGCTTTCCATGAGGGATCTTCTGCTAAGGGTGGAATCCTGAAAGCTGGCGCCATGGTTTGTGGGTCCATTTCCCATCTCCATGGTCATCAATCTGGAGGCAATACATCTCCAGCTTCCCAGGTCCATGAGGATTCATCGCACTTTTCATGTTGCCTGACTCAAACCAGTTAAGGAGAACTTGTTGGGCTTAAGTTAATGTTTTTGATATTCCTGGATATTTTTAGATGAAATATGAGGGTGGGCTTCTTCAGCTAAGACCTGACCACACATACATGCAGCTATGGTTGTTATGGTTCTGTCTTTATTGTTTGTCTTATTTTGAAGTTCATTTGTGTTTCCTCTTTTATTTTGTGTCTTATTTTTCTGATCCGTTCACTTCCTGCCCCTGTGTGTTTCTGGCCTATTGTAATTGTTTGCTCTGCCCTAATCACCTGCACATGTGCCTGATTACCCCCACACCTCTGTAGTGTATATAATCTCTGTGTTTTCTCCCTTCTGTGCCAGTTTGTCTTTGTCTGTATAGTCAAGCGTTCTAGCATACTCGCTCATGTTTGATTGTACTTTGGTTTTTGGATTCCTTCCTTTTGACTTACCTCTTTGCCTTTGCCCTTTGGACTTGTTTGCATGTGTTTGTTGAATTACTTGTGTACCAAACCTTGTTAGAAGACAAATTGATTTATCCTCTAAACACCTCGAATTGTGCTTTTGAGTCCAGTTTTCTTGGTCTGGTCTTAACAATGGTACAGTAATGTGCTAGCTGACAGATGTTGACACCGCTACTAGTAGCATTTGCTGTAACATTTGTCAACCATGTATCTATATGTTACTAAAAGGCTGTGTCGTAATAATTAAATCACCACTGTAATAGGTACTACTAGCAAATGCAGGTAATAACTCAAAGACTAAATATATTTTTTTAACCAAACAAACAAAAATCAATGCCTTGTGGTATCCTTTCGTTTTTGTAATAATAGGCTGTGAAAAATTGTCATTTTGTCAGCCATAGGTTTGCATTCTTATAACCAAGATTCTTTCCTAAATAAATATTAAAGTTTATATTTTATAGTTACATGCTGTCACTTACATAAACCACTTTTGATTCTTTTTTCACAACATAGAAGCTTTGCACTTTCACAGGGAACACAGCATCAACGTAGATATGTAATACTTGTGACATGTCATGTATGTTGTTGGACGGACAAATGTACGAGGACAGAGAGGATACAGCCTCATCTCACGTGGCCCTGCTACACTTTTATATCACTCCTGTTGCATTCTACTGGTGTAACACTAGAGGGGGATGCTTAACAGGATATGGTATAACAGGCCAGCTGATGGTGCAGGATTGTTGGTTTATTGTGTGTATGTATGTTTGTATGTTTGTATAAATTACATTTCAAGGCTTACCCTCTGCATATTTGTACCTTTATTATAAAGGAACACGTGCACTTACTATTCCCTATTCTCCTGTGACATTTTTCTGAAAGAATGAAGCTTATGTGAATTTCAAGTCCTAGTACATTAAAATGGTTTTGATAAATTATAAGGACATTTTCCTACTTCATATGTATCTTAAGGATGCAGAGACCTTGGAACAAGTGAAAGCAGATGGACACACACACACACACACACACACACACACACACACACTGTAGAAACACAGAAAGAATAAATACAGCTAAGAATCCTTTTAGAAAAGACAGGACCAAATCCTTCACGCATGAGTCACCTTCTGTTTGAGATTACTTATGCATATTATTTATTCATGTTCTCATCTTGATATTCCCATATGTCTAAAGGTCAGGGCGTATCAACAGTTTTAGAAGCTAAAAAAAAAGAAAGTTAAGGGATCACCAACATCATTAAAATTATCTGGGGACATTTGTGTCACTAGAAGTTTGTGTCCAATCATAGCCTTAGCGACCGAAACAGGGCTTATCGAGCTTTAGATTTTTCCACATGCCAAAGTGTAAGCGGTGTGCATGGGGCTTTAGTAAGCAAAAACACAAGAGAAAAGGTTTAAGAAAAAGGAATGGTTTGAACTGTGTGTTTGTCCGTAAACTGCAAACAACAGCATGACAGACTAACTAGCTTACTACCTACAGTGTTACTGCCAAAGAGCACACCATTAACTAACTAATGCTACATTAATTTACTTGGTGATATTAAAAATAATAAAAATAATAGCAATTATAAAATAAATTAGCACATCCGCTTCCATAGTAGTAGTATATCCCCAGTGTGTAGGTGGGCGATTATGGCAGCTGGAAACAAAAAATAAAACTAAAACAGTTTTATGAAGCTGGAGTCTGCATTTTTGACCAACTTGTGGAGCTAATGAAAAAAGAAATACATTTATTAAAACATTTTTTGAGAGTTTGATCTGCTATTGTTATTGGAAACTGCATTATATGCCTAGAACAGAAAGCCTGACAGACATAGCAACAGTAACTAAGGGGGCGTGTTGACACTGGACAAAACTGTTGGACAGACTTACCAATGAACTGAATTTCATCCCTAGAGCCACAGCACCAGTGTGGCCAAATGTTAAGCTGCAGCTGTTTTACTCATGAGCTTCTGTGTATTTGGCTGTTGACAGTAGTTACTTTCATTGTCAGACAGTCATGCATACCTGCCTGAGGTTGAACATCTGCACAGTCTGTCATTTCTAGGCAGGTTATGCTATTTATGCAATCTCCTGATCTATGGTCCTTGGGAACCCTTCTGTAATGGCTTGTTTACAACCGTTGCTTACTACCAGGTATATACATTGGAGATCAGTTCTTCCAAATTGTTACATTACAATGGCAGGTGGTGTACGAAGTGTGAGGAGTGGGATGGGAAAATCACTCCCAAATGTGTTTCCTCTTCTGTAAGGCAGAGGGGGAAAGAAGGTCTGTTGTCTCTACTTTTCAAATTTGAAATGTCATTACAGTCAATCACACAACACAGGTGTTGCTATTAAGCTGTTTATTTTGTCAGACAACTCTGAAATCCTAAAATAGGGAGTATAGCAGTAGCAGTATAGGACTTACATTTATAAGCCACAATGAAATGTATGTTTCTTCAATAAAATCAATACAAATATTAGATTCAACTTTATTGTCATTGTGCAGAGTACAGGTACAAAGCCAATGAAATACACTTATATCTAACCAGAAGTGCAAAAGAATAGTATTATTTACAGAGGGGTACAGGTATAAGTTAGTACTACAGCAGTGATGTTATATCTTCCAGTATGTACAGTTGTATTGAGAGTGGGAAACAGCATATATGCAGATTAATATATATGTATGTATATGAGAACAACACAATACTGTGGTTGTATAAAAACACTGCATAGGTGATCACAGTCAGCAGGACAGGTCTGAACTGAGGTTTAATAATGTGAAACTCAGCGGACTGTCCCATTCTCTACCAAATGTTGGTTGTGATGCACTTATGGTTGCCCCGAGGAGTTATCTTATCTTATATAAGTTGTCAGGGCCGGAGTTCCAGCCCTGGTGTTTCATGCCTCAGACCAGCCCACTTGAGTTCAAAACATAGATTTTATTTTCTTATTTGGGTCTTTGTATCTTTGTATGTTTTCTTTTCTATATGTGTATGTATCGACACACACACACACACACACACACACACACACACACACACACACACACACATATTGAGCATAGCGTTAGTTCAGGCAGGGCACAAAGTCAGGCTTAGCTTTCAGTTACAGCTATATCATACGAGCACAGCTAGTCATAAACATACATCAGCTGATTCCTCAAAGCTTCCCATAGAATAACATACAAAGCATAATTGGCAAACATTATCAACCCTTAATTAGTAAACTTTAGGGTGCTCTTGTATCCTGCTGCCCTTTTTTTTTTTTTTTTTTTTTTCCGCCTCCTTGTCCTAAACTTTTCCATGTATGACATGGAAGGGCAGAGGTGTGTCTCCCTCCTTAAGGTGTTTCCAGTAGGCACGTGGAAGACAAGGAGGTCCCAAAACAGAGCCATACCGCCAAATGTAATTCTGCTTGGAATATAAGATATTTTGACGAAGTGGTCCTGACTAAATATATACATAGAATAACTCAAAGAATAATTACAATTAATTAGTAAACTTTAGGGTGAGCTTTTTTTTTTTTTTTTTTTTTCCATTGGGGGGGGGTTTTT